GTTTGATTGAAAAGTCTTTCTCGTTTCCTCAAAAAAAAAAAAAACCCGTGTTTCTCAAAGCCAAGAATTTATTGCTAGCCTTTGTCTAAACTTTTTGACGCGTATACTATCTTAGTCTAGTTGAGAAGCAATTGGGAGCATAGTCATGTGATGATTCATGGCGTTTTCCATCAAGTTGAGGTGGTCCAAGTACGAGTAAATTCAGACTAATCTTTGTTTCCTTGTAGGAACTGATCGAACAGATAAGACTGAAAAAAAAAGAAAAAAAAAACATGTTTCCCAAAGTCAATTGGTAAGAATTTATTGCTAGCCCTACCTAAACTTTTGGACTATGTACTATCTTAGTCTAGATGATAAGCAATTGGGACCCTAATCATTTAAGTTTGTCTAACTACAGGGCAATTGAGACTAACTACAAATTTAAGAGAAGGTAACTTTGTAGCACTAAAATTCATCCAGGAACAAAAGCTGGGCTGAGTCACCATTCAAGTTTTCTATTGTTTGCCGTTTCTAATTGATGTAAAATGCTGAGCGTTGGGAAAATAAGCTGCAATTTTGTTTCTATTTTTTAGTGGTATATATCTTCTTCTGGAGAATGTTCGTATAAGAATTTTATCTTATTTTTTTCAGTCGTATCTGTTCAGTTTCTACAAGGGAACAAAGATTAGTCTCAATTGCCTTGTAGTTAGATTTCCTTAAATGATTAGGGTCCCAACTGCTCATCATCTTGACTAAGATAGTATATGGTCCAAAAGTTTAGAAAAGGCTAGCAATAAATTCTTACCAATTGGCTCTAAGAAATGCGTTTTTTTTTTGAGGAAACGAGAAACACGTTTCAATCAAATTGCAATAAATTCTTTTCACAAACTCCATCAAATTTTTTTACTCTAACTTTGAGAACTTTAAAGTTTGGCCTCATGTGCATTTGAGCCTCTTGGGTTTTCACAATTATTTTTCTTAAGGGATGCCCTACAACTTTTTCGGAGCACGAATTATTACACAATTATTTCACAATTATTCGTGCATCTGAGCACGAATATAATCTTTCACGAAGTGTTGGACATGAATGGTGACCTCGAATAGATGTGACACGGTATGAAAGCGTGATAAATCAAAGGGTCACACAAATACTCTCCATAGAAAGAATCAAAGGTGATTCACAATCAATCCTAAGAGAAATTAGGATTCAAACTAGAACCCACACAAGATTCAACAAGAATTTCACACCCAGGATGCATCTCAAGGCATAAAACCCCGAATATACAATTGTGTTAAAAATATCAATAATATTATCAAAGCCTAAATAGGAGAACCCTAAGGATAATTATTTGTAGGCTAAAAGTAGTTTATACCAAATAGAAAAGAAAAATACAATTAATCTAGAAAAATGACTAAACTTCGCATAGCCAACCAACTAGGATCCACAAACGGATCCATTTCGGTAGGTTGCGGATTCGTCTCACCAGCGTCTACCTCGAATCCTGTGGGACAATCTGGCTGTGGATTCGAGGGCTAGACTGCATGTGCGACCCTTTTCCTTCTTTGACCGTTCTTCCCACACCATCTTTTATTGACACAAATACAACTAAAATAATAGATAAATAACTAAGAATACTAATTAAACATGAAAATTCACCCTAACTAAGAACCCTAAATGAAGTATTACTGATATAGACAAGGAATACAAGAACCTACGGGTCCTTATTTTGTATTAGACTCTCCCATGGAGAAATTTGATACACGAGCCATGAGAAGTAGCCACAATTCTTCCATGAATCTTGTAGGGTCGATGCTTGCAATGGAACCATTGTACCTATTCATGAACATAAGGAACTCATACGATCTTGGGACAATTTCAAAACCAAAAATTGCACCATCCAACATGGTGAGAACAAATTTGGCTATGTATAACTATAACAACATAGGGAAACGGCATGAACAATAGGCTCATTAGGAGTGAATCTCCCAACTATATTCCTATCTTGGACGCAGTGTCTGCATCCTTGTCTCACACATGTATACTCATCATGAACTCATCTCTTGAAGTAGCCTTGTACTTCAAGCCTATCAATTGCTCACATGAGCTTGTCACATGTCTGCATATAGTGTTCAAACTAAGAATTATAGTGATATGCATCAGTGATCGTTGCAAGAGAAGCTTGTTCTGATACCACCTGATGCAGTATGTAAGCATGATAAACTAGAGGGGTTACGTGAACATCTATGAATCAAAGGTAATTCACGATCAATCCTAAAAGAAAAACATGATTCAAACTAGAACCCATAAAAGATTCAACAAGATGCACACACCTAGGATGCACCCCAAGGGACAAGCTATAAAACCCCAAACACACAATGATATTAAAAATATCAATAATACTATCAAAGCTTGAATAATATAAACCAAATTTTGTTTTTCGACCCACTGTTAGTGACTCCTTTAAATATTAATGAGATTGTCATCTATGTACCACACTCAATTTTGACATGTGGAAAAATTCGACAAAAATCTTGAGTTCTCCAGAACCACCTCTAAAACCGTAGTGTTACATTAAATGCAAATATTTCAACCTGGTCTGTTGTGACTAGGGTCGCAAATGAGTCGAGTCGAATTGAGTTTCGGCCTAATCGAACCGAGTCTTGACTTAGTTTTATCAAACTTGAACCCGAGCTCGAGCTCGACGAGCTGCCAATCTAAAGATCGAGCTCGAGCTCAATTTAAATTTGAGTCGAGTTCGAGCTCAAAAAAAATAAGTATTTTAATTTTTAAAAATGAATAAAATAATTATTTTTTCTTAATAAATAATTAAAAATTAGGGATATATTTGTAATTTTACTATTAAAATAAAAAATATATATATATATATACTCGGCTCGCTAACGAGCATAAAACTCGAGCTCGAGTTTGATTTAGCCAACTCGAGCTCGACTCGAGTTCGATATGGATTGAGCTCAAGTCGAGTTTTGACTCAAACTGCTTGCGAGCAGTTCGGTTTGTTTGCAACTCTAATTGTGACTCTATAATAGCCCAAGTACCTCACGCACCGGTTTACACAAATGACCAAGAGTTCAAGATTTAAACATCCCCAAGTTCAAACAAACTCCACAAATGTATAGTAAAAATAAAGATCAAGACCAATATTATTACATGATTTTGTCAATAATCCAAAAGGTTATCTTTTTATAAATAACAAAAACAAGCCCCCATCCGAAAAAAAAGTTCTAATAGAAATAAGAATGAGGGAAAACAATTAAGAACAAAACATATAGGAGGAAGTGGTTATGAGTGTGAGTACGTGAGATTTAGACCGACAACCGCTTAATAGATATTTTGGAAAATATTTGAGAAGTAGGAAACGAAAGGCTGGACGGAATTTGGTTTTTCTTTTTTTTTTTGTTTTGAGAAGTAGGAAAATATTTTAGAATATTTGAGAAGTGGGAAATTTTTTGTTAGTATATTTCGGCGTTTTATTGCGAGACCCGTTTCCAGCTATAATGAGGTGACATTTCATTATAGCTATAATGAAACGTGTTCCATGCTGGTGCATTACCACAATTTTAGGTGACAAAAAGATTGCCTATAAATACAAGGAGTTTGGTTTGTTATTTCAATGTGCTAAACTCAGCTACCAGTTACAAATTATCTATTTTCAGTCTTATTAATTAGCTAGCTAGTTCTTTAAGGAAAAAATGGCTGCAGCCAAATCAGCTATTGGTGCTGGAAAGGTGAATAGTGATTGTATGCCTAGTTAGACCTAGATTTCTTTCTTTTTCAAGTTTGTGTGTGGTTTTTGGGAATCAATTCATAAACAACTAAGGGTAACTTATCTTTTACATCCCTGTGGTTTGAAGGTAGAGTATCACTGGTAATTTAGTAATTTACTGGATGATAGAGTATCACTGGCACTAGCAGTAATGTCTACTGCTTTATTAACGGAAAAGGTGAAAGGTAATTCACCTTTAATTTTTCGGTTAAAACTGACGGTCAATGATAATAACTCAAAATCAAACTACTAAATTGTAAGCTTCTTCTAAGTGATGTAGTTTCTTAGTAATTGGTTTGGATTTACTTTTCTGGTTGTTTGTCTGTGTGAAAGGATTCTAATTGACATTTTGGAACTCAATTGTTTTGGGTTTTCTTACCAAAAAAAAAATGTGTGGGGTTTGCAGAACGACATAGATGCACTAGAACCAGTGAAGCCGGCTGACCCTCGCGTGATCGAGATCGGACGATTTGCAGTGACAGAACACGGTCATGCGCTGCTTTTCGTCGGCGTGGTTGGCGGATTCAGGTGGGCCATTCCTGGAGGCGATCACTACGCACTTATCATTGAAACTCAGGATGATAACGGCGCCACATATCTCCATAAAGCACTTGTCGTTATGGTCGAAGTGGAAGGACAACCCTTGAGACTCATCTGGTACAAGAATTAATCAAGCACTACTCTTGATCATCAACTGAGGATCAACGACTTCAAGTACTTTAATTTTCTAGTGTCTATATATGGTGTGGTTTTCAGTTTATGCATGCATGGATGATGTACTGCTGCCGTGCATACATCTTCCCATTGTTGTACTAGTATGTCAAATAAGGTGCACTTAAACCAACAAAAATGCACCATTCCATCTGTGTTCGAGTTTGTATCTGTGTCTTTTATGTCTGTGTTTGTATCCTTGTACTAGTATGTAAAGGTGCACTTTTACGAACAAAAATGCACCATTAAATAAATAAAAACAGCCATGGGTTTGAGTTTGTATCCGTGTATTTTGTTTCTCTATTACTTGCATGCAGGTTCCCATCTCTCAGTCTTGTATGTCAACTACCATATTCATGACTAGTTGTGAATTCTGATAACTAGTTAAGTGTTACTTAAAATGAACACAAATGAGGGATAGAGTGGAGCTATACTCCCTAGCCCCCACCCCGTTTCTCAACGGGGGAAAATTTCCAACCCCCATTAGCCTCCCGCGGGGCCGCCATTGCCATCCTTAACTGCAACGTCGTCTCGCTCATCTTAACCTCTTTAATACTGTTAATACGATCCTTTCGATTTTAAACCAAATTAAATCGGAGTGGTTACCAATTTGCTCACTCTAATGGCGATTGCAAGAACAGGAGTCTTCGTCGATGATTATTTAGAGTATGCAAACACTTTGCCTGCTGAACTTCAGAGGCTACTCAATACCATTAGAGAACTCGACGAGCGTTCCCAAGCGATGATAAATCAGGCAAGTCAGCAAACGAAGTTGTGTCTAGGAATGGCATCGCATAGGAATCATGATAGTTACCGTGATCAAGATAATGATGAGGCATTCGAGAAAATGAAAAAGGAGATTGAGGCCACTCAAGAAAACACCTTAAGCCTGTGTACTGAGAAGGTTTTATTGGCCAGACAAGCGCATGATCTTATAGACAGCCACATAAAACGTCTTGATGAGGATCTGAACAACTTTGCTGAAGATCTTAAGCAAGAGGGAAAATTAGCAGCAGATGAGCCAGCTATTCTTCCAACGTTACCGTTGGTCCCTAAAAACGAAAAGCGTAAACCAATTTATGGAACACCTCAGTCTAAGAAGCTTGATTACAGGGACAGAGATTGGGACCGGGAGCGTGATAGAGACTTTGAACTGATGCCTCCTCCTGGGAGTGGTAATAAAAAGGATTTTACTGCACCTGTTGATGTTGATCAGCCAATTGATCCTAATGAGCCTACCTACTGTGTCTGCAATCAGGTGTCATTCGGGGATATGATTGCTTGCGACAATGAAAATTGCCAAGGCGGTGAATGGTTCCATTACTCTTGTGTTGGTTTGACACCAGAGACAAGATTCAGAGGAAAGTGGTATTGTCCCACCTGCAGACAATTGCCACACTAATTTCATATGTAATGAATTTGATCTCTAGTAGTAAGGCAGCATGTTCATTATATCTATGACTAATTTTGATGGAGTACCGCCGTAACTTTTAGAAAAAAAAAAAAAATGAACACAAACCTGAAAAGGAAATGAAAGATTAACTGATATATTGAGAGAAAGACATGTAGCTCGAAAACTAGAGTTCAAAGATGAGAGTTTCTACTTTCTACAGCCAGTCCTTGGTCATCTGAAAACAATATGTGTCCTACCATGTGCTAATTAAGTTTAGAATGCATAGGTATGAACAAAGAACGGTCCATTATCTTTAAAATGTGACAACAACATTAATAGACCTACGTACCGTTGGATTATAATACTTATCCCTATATTTTGTTTGAAAATTCAATGGAGCAGAGATCATGAGATTCATCACCAAATCATTCAAGCAATCAAGAAGAAAAAAATATCTTATGGGCAATATTAAGGAAAAATAAATAAATAGGACTTTTCTCATTTTTCAGTTCTAGAACCATTTTTTTTTTCTTCTTTTTGTACAACACTATCTCTTGATTTTTCACTATAGTTAAGTGCTTAGGCACTTGATATAGGATACATACATATATACACACACACACATATATACACATACACATACATAAATACTAGTAATAAAGTATGTGACTTGCACGCGAATATGGGCTAATTCCTCAGTTTATAGATGAAAAAAAGAAAAATCAGTCAATTATAGGTCTGGCAAGGCGGTTTTGCAAAACTATAACTTAGCACGATAGGAAAAAGTATTTTTTTCATAAAGTTTATTTTTAATCAAGTTTTTATCTGATATAAAACACTTTAAAAAGTGCTACAATAAAAAAGTATAAGCAAATAATTTTCATTTCAAATTTACTAATACGCTTTGTTTTATTTAAAAGAAGTATTGCTACGGCATTGAGATAAACTCATTAAGTTGGTTAGACTTCTTTTTCATAAATTATTTAATTCATTTTAGTGTTAAAAGATCGAAATGCATAATGTAATTATATTTAAATGCATTTAACAAATATTAAAAAATAACTATTTATTATGTTACAATTATTATATATGTGTAAGAATTAACCGGAGATATTTTGATAGTTAAAAATATAACTTCATTTTAACCCTATCAAAGAGTTGACCACAAGAGGTAAAGTGTATATGTTTGGAATTTAGGGGGACAGAGGGAATTGAAGGAGCACAATTGCACAAGTACTTGATTTGGCCAAAAGATGCTTAAAGTTCCCCATCAAACCAAGAGACGCACGAGTCCTTGGTTCAGACGCCCAGGCACCTTTTTTCATAAACAATCACCCCCCGCCGGGCTGAGGCAACTTTCTTTGAAAAAAAAAAAAAAAAGAAGCTTTAGGTTACTTCTTTTACTTTTTTTTTTTTTTAAGAATCATCCTTGCCGGCCCAAGTCAGCCCAGCAGGTGGCAAGATTTGCAGGCTTTTTTTTGCACTTCTGTCTGCCGTACTGAGTCAGCTGCTCAGTTTGTATGGATAATAAATTATCTCAAATAATATTTTACTTGCAACATAAATATATTTTTTAATTTATATTTTTTATTCTTAATTATTCTTTTATCTCACATACATCACATCATAAAAAATGTTATAGTAATTATTCCAAATAATACTCTATCCAAACAAACATACTAGTAGTTTTGTAAAACTCCCTTGTTAGACCTACAATTGACCAATTTTTCTTTTTTTCATCTATAATCTAAGAAATTAGCCGTGAATATGATGCTCTTGGATTTTCCTTTTTTTTTCTCAAAATTTTGAGAAAATCAATGTAATTGAGACAAAAATAATGTGATATTTAATATTTTTGTTTTCTAAATATTTCTCAAAACTTGTTTTACCCTAACCAACACAAATGCATAAGTAACAAAGCATCATTTATTCCAAGAGTAGTTTTGTTTTATAACAATACGTATCAATATTTTTGTCTTTTGGTTGAATTTGGGTGACCTGAATATTGTTCTCTTTTATGTCATTTGAGTCAAAATTTTCATCTTCCTGAATAATTTGCTGCTCTCCTTCATGTCATTCTACGAATCTTTTATTAGTTCCCTTTAATTTTTTTCTATTAATGGTGGAATGTAAAATGATCCATAGTGCTATTGCAGCAATGACCATGTCACAATATAGCTATGCCACCATAGTCGAAGAAATTTAATGCATTTAAGGTAATGACTGGTGTCATAGCTATGTACCATTTTGAATGGATGTAGCTTTGGAGTGTTGCAGAACTGTACGTTTTGTTGAATGAGGATTAAAAATTGAGGAAATGGATATGCTAGGGCTGCCCATCTTAACTTCTTTGAACTTAATTGCATTTTATACTTTTGAATATTTTGCACTTTATGTTCATTTGAAATCACTTCACATCATCAAAAATCATTAAAACATCTTCTCATTTTACTCCAATTGATTATTAAATTATTAAAACGTATATAAACATAAAGTTTAAACCACTTAAATTCATCGAACACAGTTCTCACTTAAGCTACAAAATGTAAAATTCACTAGAAACCTAATTAATTAGCAACTAAAATGACTAAAACACACCTAAACACTAGACAATAAAACACACTAAAATCATGCAAAATAAACACTTATCAATACCTCAACAAGTCTCCTCTCATTTTGCGCTTGAAACTTTTCATTGTACTCATAAATACCATGTTTTTCAAAATAAGTTGACTCAACTGGTAAGAAGTACCACTTTCTTACAAAAAACAATCATGTGTTATCAGAGTCGAACCAATCTAAACTTTTAATTTCCAAAAAAAAAAAAAAAAAAAACTTGTTTCACCATGTAGAGTCGACGTTCAGTCAGGTTATTGTCAATTTTTGTTCTTCTTTTTATTGGTTTTTTGTTTTCTCCTATTAAGCTTCTGCTCATTCTGTTTCACTATCAGCTTTCATCCTTCGGACCATTACAAGCTAAGTATTCATGGGGATGCAACTCCAACATCATCAGTCAATTCCTAATGAGGCCAGGAAGTTTCCTCAATTCCAGGCTCAATCAGGCCAGTCCATCTGAACTGAAATTTTGCCTCAACTTAATGCCACACAAGGTCCTTTCTATTTGCTTCAGTGCTTCAAGTATGTTCCTCTACCCGCCCACAAAAAAATAACTTCATTCCCGCCAACAGATTTTGTAGGATATGGGAAAAAAGGCCAGTTCAAAATTATAAATTTGCTCCCTATTTTCTTACAAGACCAAGAAATCTATTTCCAAAAGCTAAAAACATATCTAGAATTACCACTTTTACTTATGGAGTAAAACTAGGTTACTATTCACTTTTTTTTTTTTATAAAAAAATTGGTTATTATAAACTTTTGCATTAGATGAGAAGGGACTCAAGTAATTGCTTAGAACCAAGAGCTAAAAGCACAATTTACCTCAAACTTTAACAGGTAAAGGCACAATTTAAGGAACTTTTTTGGAACTAGCTTCTCCACATAAAGAAGTAAATTCTAATTGTATTGTCTGCAATGCATCGACTTATTGTCTAGTAACAAATATACCTTGTCTTGGGACACTTTTCTAATGTTGAATGTTTAGATATATGATATGAGTGTATAAAAATTTCCATAAAATTTAATGTAATATATGTTCAAATCTAGTTCTTTCAAGTATTAATATATTTTTTTACGCCTTTATTACATATAAATGCTACGCGTTGACTGGTTTTTTACTTTAAGTGCAAGTTTAATTCCGAATTATACCCGTTTTACTGCAAGTATACAGGTCAAAATCGTAATATTGGGTATGTATCGGGTCGATCCCACGAGGAGCAATTAAAACAATTATTAGATACTAATTTACTCTATTATTTAAACTCACAATAAATTTGAGCAGAAAATTTAGAAATTAATCCAACTACAAAAATTCTTAACTAGATAAATTGCAATTTCGCAAAAGGAGTAGAATTGACTAAATATTAAGATCTAGGGATGTAGATTACACATATGACACAAAAGATCTAAAACGAATGAATTTAATACTTGTTACTACTCTTGTTTAACCAAGGATCCATTTCCAACAATACCAAAATCACATTCTCATGATAATAATGGGTTAAAACAGATTAGTTTTTCCTAATCTCTTGGTAAATCCTAAATCTGTTTTGTGCATACATGAAATGTAGATTTCATCCACTTGAATGTATTTCTATTCTCATGAATATACTCTTCAAGCTCTACTTATGTCATTCCATTATTTTTGCCATTTCTCAATGAGTAAAAACAACTATAAACCTGCTATTAGTGATCAAGCAACAACAAGTAATCCAACATACACAAGTAGATAAGTTAATACAAGACATAACAAGTATAAATCACAATCACTTTATATCATTTGGCCATAAGTTTCATCTACTCCCTAGATAAAGGAAATTAGCTACTCATGAGTGATGAAACACTCATAACTTCATTAATGTAAATCATCATGAATTACAAATACAAAAAGAGTAAAGAAAGTCTTAGCCAAGATATGGTGAAGCCTTCCAAAAATCTCCTTTGTCTTGAACTTAGATGATTACAAGATGAAACCTCAATTGCCCCTTGCAAGTACCTAGCTAGAGAGACTATGTTTTTTAGTGAGAATACTAGCTACGTCTGGATGTCCAGACCTCCCTCAATGTCTCTGCATAAAAACTACTCAAAGACTCCATTTTTCCAAGTCAAATTCTAACCTTTGATTCCCAAATCTCCACTTTGTTAGCATAGTCAAAAACCAATATTTTTGACTTGAAAATAAACCCCCTTTCTTGCCCTTTGGTCTTCTGAAGCATGTGCACTGAATTCCCTTGCAACTTATAGCTGGAAAGTAGTCTGAACACAAGAGGAATGGCTGAGCAAATTGCAGATTTTCGGCTATAAAACACGCCTACACAAAACGCGTCATAAACTCGCGTTTTTTATACTCGCATTTTCACTCTGACCTTATTTCAACTGCAATTTTCTCCATGATAAAGGCCGAACTAGCTTTTGTGCAAATCACAAAAGTTGTAACCCTTTGAGTTAACTTTCCAATGCTTCAAGAATCATCCCAATCGGAGCTTTGTAGCCTGAGATATGATCGAAATACTATCACTTGGTCAAACCTCTGTTTTAACTTCCGACCACAGAATGCAGCTTCTGTATTCCGACTTTTTGTCCATGAAAATGGCAGAATTGGATTTTGATGTCTTCATACGAATTGTAGATCTATTTCTTAGCTTTAAAATGGTATAAAGATCACCTCAATCCGATAAGTGTAACTCCAGATATGGTCGAAATACTGAAGAGTGTCAAAACTGACTTGTATTGCATTTCCTCACTTGAACGTTTTTCACTTCATTCTTCTTGTTACCACTTGAATTCATCACCAAATATCTACTTTTCACCTCATTTGACATCCTTTGGTGATTGAATCATCATTTCTGCATAAAAATGAAGTTTTTACCATTAAAATCACTAAAAATGCAATATTATCCACTTTTACCAAAAATATATAATTTTACCAAAAACCTCTTTATTTTATTTATAAAACTAAATAATCAACTCAAAATTAACTAATAAAATGCACTTAAAAATACGTAAAATAAACTCTTATCACGCGTAATAGTTAAGATCCGCATATCTAAAAGTGTCATGCACTTCAAATCCAACTCTCAAATAAACTCCAGTGAAAAGGGTAATGATATTTGCATCTTTCTTTAACTTCTTGCACATATTTTGAACATTTGTTTATATCATATGACAAGCATGTATGGTAGGCAAAGACATAATGAAGACCTGAAGGCAAGCACTATGATGGGGGTGTGAATATCAATACACTACTAGAAATTAATCTTCTATATATATATATATATATATATATTACCAAACCCTCAATATTCAAATATTTTCCACAGTAGGCTATGTCCCTCTCCCATAAGTATTTTGACAAAGGTGTGATTCTTTAGCTCAAATGTTGATTCTGCAGTAGTATTTTGAGAATATGTCCTGTATAGGAGGCACAATTGGTGCAGTCCAATTTGCAGAAAACTTTGTTCAATTAGCTAGGCCTGATGTACAAATTAAAGAGAAGGTAACTTCGTGGTACTAACTTTCATCCAGAAACAAAAACTGGGCTAAGTCATTACAGAAAAAGTTGTAGGGCGTCCCTCAAGAAAAATAATTGTGAAAACCCAAAAGTCTCAGCTGCACTTGAGGCCAAACTTTAAGCTTTCAAAGTTACAGTAGAAAGTTTTGATGGAGTTTGAGAAAAGTATTTATTACCGTTTGATTGAAAAGTCTTTCTCGTTTCCTCAAAAAAAAAATAAATAAATAAAAGGTGTTTCTCAAAGCCAAGAATTTATTGCTGGCCTTTGTCTAAACTTTTTGACGCGTATACTATCTTAGTCAATTGGGAGCATAGTCATCTGATGATTTATGGCGTTTTCCATCAAGTTGAGGTGGTCCAACCGTCCAAGTACGAGGAAATTGAGACTAATCTTTGTTCCCTTGTAGAAACTGATCGAATAGATAAGACTGAAAAAAAAAACGTGTTTCTCAAAGTCAAGTGGTTAGAATTTATTGCTAGCCTTATCTAAACTTTTGGACTATATACTATCCTAGTCTAGGTAGGTGATAAGCAATTGGGACCCTAATCATTTAAGTTTGTCTAACTACAAGGCAATTGAGACTCACTATAAATTAAAGAGAAGGTAACTTTGTAGCACATGAGGCCAAACTTTAAAGTTCTCAAAGTTAGAGTAAAAAAATTTGATGGAGTTTGTGAAAAGAATTTATTGCAATTTGATTGAAACGTGTTTCTCGTTTCCTCAAAAAAAAAACGCATATCTTAGAGCCCAGTGGTAAGAATTTATTGCTAGTCAAGATGATAAGCAATTGGGACCCTAATCATTTAAGGAAATCTAACTACAAGGTAATTGAGACTAATCTTTGCTCCCTTGTAGAAACTGAGCAGATACGACTGAAAAAAAAGGTTGGACATGAATGGTGGCCTCGAATAGATGTGACACGGTATGAAAGCGTGATAAATCAAAGGATCACACAAATACTCTCCATAGGAAGAATTAAAGGTGATTCACAATCAATCCTAAGAGAAATTAGGATTCAGACTAGAACCTACACAAGATTCAACAAGAATCTTACACCCAAATATACAATTGTCTTAAAAATATCAATAGTATTATCAATGCCTAAATAGTAGAACCCAAAGGATAATTATTTGTAGGCAACAAGTAGTCTATGCCAAATAGAAAAAAAATACAATTAAAATAGAAAAATGACTAAACTTCACAGTGCCAATCAACTAGGATCCATAGATGGATTCGTTTCGGCAGGCTGCGGATTCGTCTCGCCAGTGTCTACCTCGAATCCTACTGGACAAGCTGGCAGTGGATTCGAGGCCTGGATTGCATGTGCAAGCCTTTTCCTTCTTTGACCATTCTTCCTGCCACCGTCTTTTATTGACACAGATATAACTAAAATAATAGATAAATAACTAAAAATTCTAATTAAACATAAAAATTCACCCTAACTAAGAACCCTAAATGAAGTATTATTGATATAGACAAGGAATACGAGAATCTACGGGTCCTCGTTTTGTATTAGACTCTCCCATGGATAAGGTTGATACATGAGCCATGAAAAGTAGCCATAATTCTTCCACGAATCTTGTAGGGTCGATGCTTGCAATGGAACCGTTGTACCTATTCATGAACATAAGGAACTACATACAAACTTAGGACAATTTCAAAACCAAAAATTGCACCATCCAACATGGTGAGAACAAATTTGACTATGTATAACTATAACAACATAGGGAAACGGCATGAACAATAGGCTCATTAGGAGTGAATCTCCCAACTGTATTCCTATCTTGGACGCAGTGTCTGCATCCTTGTCTCACACATGTATACTCATCATGAACTCATCTCTTGAAGTAGCCTTGTGCTTCAAGCCTATCAATTGAGCTTGTCACATGTCTGCATATAGTGTTCAAACTAAGAATTATAGTAATATGCATTAGTTGCAAGAGAAGCCTGCTCTGATACCACCTGATGCAGTACGTAAGCATGATAAACTAAAGAGGTTACATGAACATCTAAGAATTAAAGGTAACTCACGATCAACCCTAAAAGAAAAACATGATTCAAACTAGAACCCGGACAAGATTCAACAAGAATCACACACTTAGGACGCACCCCAAGGGACAAGGTATAAAACCCCAAACACACAATTGTATTAAAATTATTAATAATACTATCAAAGTTTGAATAATACAAACCAAATTTTGTTTTTCGACCCACTGTTAGTGACTCCTTTAAATATTAACAAAATTGTCATCTATGTACCACACTCAGTTTTGACTTGTGGAAAAATTGGACAAAAATCTTGAGTTCTCCAGAACTACCTCTAAAACCATAGTGTTACATTAGGTGCAAATATTTCAACCAGGTCCGTTGTGACTCCATAATAGCCCAAGTACTCCAGGCACCGGTTTACACAAATAACCAGGAGTTCAAGATTTAAACATCCCCAAGCTCAAAAGAAGTAAACTCCACAAATGTATAGTAAAAATAAGGATCGAGACCAATATTATTACATGATTTTGTCAATAATCCAAAAAGTTATCCTTTTACAAATAACAAAACCAAGCCCCCATCCCAAAAAAAAATGTTCCGATAGAAAAAAGAATCAGGGAAAAAAAATTAAGAACAGGACATATAGGGGAAAGTGGTTGTGCGTGTGAGTACGTGAGATTTAGACCTATAACCGTATAATAGGTACTTCGAAAATTATTTTTGAAGTAGGAAATGAAAGGCTGGACGGAAATTGGTTTTTCTTTTGCTTTGAGAAGTAGGAGAATATTTTAGAATATTTGAGAAGTAGCAAATTTTATGTTAGTATTTGCCAGCGTTTTATTGTGAGGCCCAGTTCCAGCTATAATGAGGTGACATTTCATTATAGCTATAAATAATGAAACGTGTTCCATGCTGGTACAAACGTCAGATGATTTTAGGTGACAAAAAGATTGCCTATAAATACAAGGAGTTTGGTATGCTATTTCAATGTGCTAAACTCAGCTACCAAGTTTTCGTCAGTCACCACCAGTTACAAATATCCATTTTCATTCTTATTAATTAGCTAGCTAGTTGTTTAAGAAAAAAATGGCTGCAGCCAAATCTGCTATCGGTGCTGGAAAGGTGAATAGTGATTGTATGCCTAGTTAGACCTTGATTTCTTTCTTTTTCAAGTTTGTGTGTGGTTTTGGGAATCAATTCACAAGCAACTTGCATAGAAACGTTTGAAAAAGTATAAAAAGGAGTTGCAAATTAAAGTAATTTCAGCATTCTTAAATTGTCTTTAAGCAATACCGTATTATGTATTTCTAGTTGTCTGCATGGGCAGCGGTTTCTTGAATTGTTTGATTAAGGTTCCTCCGAGCAATGTAGTTTCTTATTAATTGGTTGGATTTAGTTTTCTAGCTGTTTGTTTGTCTGAAAGGATTCTAATTGATTTTGGGAACTCAATTGTTTTGAATTTTCTTACTGAAAAATAAACGTTTCGAGTTTACAGCACGACATAACGGACCTAGAACCAGTGAAGCCGGCTGACCCTCGTGTGATCGAGATCGGACAGTTTGCAGTGACAAAGCACAACGAGGAGGCCGGGACTGAGCTGGTTTTCATCTGCGTGGTTGGTGGATTCATGTGGGGCGTTATTGGTGGCGCTTACTACGCGCTTATCATTGAAACTCAGGATAGTAGCGGCGCCACATTCCTCCAAAAAGCATTGGTTTTTGCGGTCCCAACTGCAGGCATGAGACTCATCTGGTACAAGAATTAATCAAGCACTACTCTTGATCATCAACTGAGGATCAACGACTTCAAGTACTTTAATTATCTAGTGTCTATATATGGTGTGGTTTTCAGTTTATGCATGCATGGATGATGTACTGCTAGCATGCATGCATCTCCCCACGATTGTACTAGTATGTCAAATAAGGTGGACTTAAACCAAGAAAATCAATGTAATTGAGACAAAATAATGAGATGCTTAATATTTATATATTTTTAGAAACTTGTTTCATCCTAACCAACACAAAGGCACAAGCAACAAAACATCCTTTGTCCCAAGTGCACTTTCGTTTTTATAACAGTACGTTCAATATTTTGGTTTTTTGGTTGAATTTGGGTGACCTGAATATTGTTCTCTTTTGTGTCATTTGAGTTAAACTTTCATCTTCCTAAATAATTTGTTGTTCTCCTTTACATCATTTTATGTTGCTTTAGTTTCTCTATTTGCCCTTCAATGTACCAGTGACAAGCAATGGTGCAAGGCAAACAGAATTGATGTGTTTGTCAACAAGCTATCAAGAGCCATGCGTCTGTTGAACGCTCTATTGATACTAGAGTTAGTGCAATTCACGTTCTAAAATTGCGTACGAGATATAGAAAAACATGGGGTCCAAGTCATTTCCTTTGTGGATTCATGCTCATATGAAACGCAAATGTGTGCAAGCACGCTCCTTTCTCCCACCATATGTACCAAAGGTAAAAAAATCAAAATGCCCTCAAACTATACAGTTGATCGACTTTTAACCCTCCAACTATTCAGTGCATATATTTGCCCTCAATCTTATAAAAGGGTATATTTTTCACTCTTTGCCTAAAGATAATTTCAAAAACCTCCTTGTGATTTATGGTAATATCACTTGGTATCTTTAAAGTTTCAAAAATATCACTCAACTTCCATACCAATGAGATGGGACTATTAATCATTATCATAGCATACGAATTCACAAAATTATTTTCACTACTTTAATAACTTTTAGGCAAAACATTATAGAAAAGAAAATTTTTAGGTAAAACATGTAAATCTTATATTATAATCAAATTGATAGAAAATTCAATATAAAAAACACAAAAGGATAGAAGTGGGAGAAAGAATATCTCTCTTGTTAAATGATTATTATAAGAATATTTTAATGATACAAGGTTGAGATAGTTATAAAAGGTATGGTTTTAAGGGAGGTTGATGTTATTTTTGAAATTTTAAGAGTGTCAAGTAATATTTACAAAAATCTTGGGGAGGGAATATACTTTTTTACAAGTTCGAGGGACAAAAATATGTACTTAATAGTTGAAGGGTTAAAAGTCGATCAACTTAATAGTTTGAATGCCATCTAGATTTCTTACCCTATGTATCAAGGTGGTGCGGTCAGGCATGGATTCTTAACAAAAGTCAAAAGCATTTTGATGGGCTAGCAGCTAACATTAATTGAAGGGTATGAATGGAAATTAGATAAAAAAAAAAATTGTTTGTCATATTTAGAAGGGCAAATTCCACTTTACCCCCTTGTGGTTTAGCGTTTTTTCACATAACCCCTCTATGGTTTCAAAAGCTATACATAACCCCCTTATGGTTTGGATTAAAGTGTCAAAGTAACGAAAATAGTCACTCGTAACGGCGTCATCTAAAATGTCAAAAATACCCTTATGTAAGGCTGAAATTTATGTATTAACCAAGGGGGGTTATGTGTATATTTTGAAAATCATAAGGGGGTTATATGGTAAAGTATTAAACCATAAGGGGGTTATATGGTAAAATATAAAAATCATAGGGGGTTAATGTGTCATGTATTTATAAGGGTAATTTCGACATTTTTAGAAGTTCCGTTACGAGGGACTATTTCCGTTACTTTGACACTTTAATCCAAACCATGAGGGGGTTATGTATAGCTTTTGAAACCATAGGGGGGTTATGTAAAAAAGGGTAAACCACAGGGGGGTAAAATATAATTTACCCTATTTAGAAAGTGACATATATTTTGGGATAGATAAAAAAACAGAAAACATGACAATTTCAATAAGATAGAGGGAGTATAATATAACTTCCTAACTAAAGTCATCCAGGACAAAATATACTTACCACTTCGAGTCGATTCGCTGCACTCCGTTACTCTAATATACCCCATTTCTTCACAATCTCCCCCAGGATATCCCTTGTGCAACCAATATTCTTACTAGTGAGCCAATGACCACGCAAGTCATGTATTCTTGTTCCTCCCACCATCGAATCTGGTCTTCAATGATGAACTTCGAGGCCCCATTCTTGTTCTAGGGTTTGGCTCTTTTTTTTTTTTTTGCCTAGGCATTGAAGATAAAGGCTTTGATCTTCTTTTGCTAATTATCTGGGTTTTTTCATGTTTTTGTTGCATTTTTTGTCTGGTCAGCGGTCAACCCATATGGACAGACAAATATGCCCTTATACTTAGTGCCCGATGGTGGTGAGATTCGAATAAGCATGGCTGCTCAACCGTATTGGGACAAATTTGGTCCAAAAAATTATGTTGAAGGACCATTCTGTTCCATTTTTAAGATGGAGGACTAAAACTGAATTAGTAAAAAAGTTGAAGAACTATTTTAAGTGATGAGCAACGACCCTAATCAAAGTGTCTTCAACTATCCTGCTTCTAACTGCATTATAAAAAAAAATGTTTAAGTAATATAGTGATTCACAGTAACGACATCTGCTCTAAATCTATTGAACGCAATTAAGCAATCATGCTACTAAATTTCCAAGCCTATTAGTGCTGTGAAGTTTTAAGTAAAAATAAAACTGAGTTGTAAGTGTTCAATGAAAATGTCCCTTTGGTCACAATGTGCTTCATGGTTTAGTTATGATATATTTTAACAGATTCTCTACATGCATAAGAAGTTTATATAGACTTTCACCCGGTATCTAATACAAATCACCAAGATTAAATCTACTATAAATAACTTTTGTAATTTTTTATATTTCTATAATCAGAGAAGTGCTAATTAAGCCACAAAAGCCTAAGGTACAAATTTTTAAGCTAAGAATGGAAAATGCCTTTAACTTTGGTGTTTTAAAAATAAAGGGCAATAAATATTTCAGAGTTCCGACGATAAAAGAATTTAATCCTTCTTTTGAATTGGAAGCATTGATCAGCTAAACCAATTGAACTCACTTGAGCAATCAGGTGACTAAATTTCCAAACCTATTAATGCTCTCATGAAGTTTATCGTAAAAGTGAAACTCAGTAGAAAGTGTTCAATGAAAAATTTGTTGTTGATATTTTTTAACAGATTCTCTAAATGCTCGATAAGTTCGCATAGATTTTCACCCAGCATCTAGCACTCTCACGGCCATCAAATATAAAAATAAATTTGTAATTTATTATATTTCTATAGTTGTGAAATTTCTAATAATTAAGCCACAAGAGGCTAAGGTACGCATCTCTAAGTGAAGAATAAGGCGTGCCTTTACCTTAGGTGTTTATAAAGTTAAGGGCAATAGTTATACTAATGAATGATTTTTTATGTATAGGTTTGGATGAATAAAGGATTTGGTTGCCTATTAACTGGTTATTAGCAATTTGAAAATGTTTCTATAGTTATAGTATTTCAACTAGTTGAATGAGCTATGATATTTGAAATGTCTCCTCAAAGCACAAAGATGACAAGAATATTTAAGTTTGAATCTTAACAACATACAAATTATAGGTTCATTCATGTCTTATTGTTATCATTGTTAGAAGAATTGTGCGGCAACACAGACAAACACACACACATGCATATATATGTGTGTGTAATCCTTATTCTACTTTTGCTATTGTCTACATAGATGGTATATTACTTTTTTTTAGAATCAATAGAAAAACATTTTAAACACTAACAAATATTTTTTTAATACCATTAAGAAAAATGAATTAGCTGTTTCAAAATCAAAAATTAAAATTTTTTCAAACAAAAATAAGATTTCTAGGACACGATATTGATCAAGGAAATTACAAGCCAATTGGTAGATCCCTAGAATTTGCTAATAAATTTTCAGATAAAATTAGAGACAAAAATCAAAGATTTTTAGGATGTCTTAACTATGTTTCTGAATTTAAGACAAATTTGTGGACTACTATATAAAAGATTTAGGAAAAATCCTCCAGTTTGGACTGAAGATCATACTAAAACGGTCCAAAGGGTTAAGCAAATTGTTAAGCATCTTCATTTTTAGGAATTTCTCATCCACATGCATTTATGATAGTTGAAGACGTAAGATACAGAGGCATTCCCAAACCAAATAAGCATATTACAACATATGAACATATGCATGATTCCAGGCTTGACTTCAAACAAATGAGCAATTAGTCTGATATTATTCTAGTATCTGGATTGGAGTTCAAAAAAATTATTCTTCAATTAAAAAAGAAATTCTATCAATTGTTTTATATATTACAAATTTCAAAATGATTTGATAAATAAAAAAGTTTTTATCAAATATTGATTATAAGGCAGTAAAAGATGTTTTACAAAAGGATGTTAAAAGTTTAGTTTCAAAACAAATTTTTGCAAGATGGCAAGCTTTATTTTGAAATTTGGACTTTGAATTCGAATTTATCAAAGGAGAGCAAAATTCTTTACCAAATGTTCTAACTAGAGAATTTTTATAGGGAAATGTCCAGAAGACCTGAATACAGGCCTTCAAAGCCCCTTTTAGCCTATTCAAACACTCCTAGTCCAATTGCGACTCAAGCTCCAAGACAAAGGCCCATGTCTCAAAGGCCTTTAGCCCTAACTTAACAGACTTCAAACACCTATATGAGTGCTATTAAAACCCTATAATTCAAACTTCTCTATCTAACCCATGTACTTCAAGCCCAAGTCCAAACCAAACTCTATTACCAAAAACAGTTAATTCTCCTAAAGTATCTAACCCAAATATATCTTCTCCTGATTTCCAACCAGTTCAAGTTATTAAATCTCTTTACTGCCAAAATTATTTCTCTAAGCAAGATGAGGCATATTTTGGAGAAATTGAACCTTTTTTTGCAAATAAAATCTAAGCTAAACCGATTCAAATCTATTTCCATCCAAACCTACTCTACTTTTCCGAAACCCTTTTCAAAACCAGAAAATTCTTTGAACAAAATTTACTAGAAACCGATTCTATTAAACTTTTGAAATGGTTTCCAGAAGAAACCCTAGAAGAATAAGCCAAATACCACAAAATAAAAATTTAAAAAAATAAAAATTTAAAAAAATTATTAAACTAGAAAAGTGGCCTGTCACAGGATAT